CAAAAGTGGGGATTCGGTACATTTGATTATAACATTCAATGGATTCTTATATTATCTGGACATATAATACATATACAAAAAGTACTATATCTTATTGTTTCGATAATATTATTACGAAATAAATCAAAATAATAGGTTAGGTTAGGTTAAAGCAAACTTAAGTAAAACCAAAAAAATGTTGGTACCTTTTTAAACTTATTTAACAGAAAAAAAAAACAAGAAAGGAAGCTAACTTCGGCACGCCGAAGTTTGTATACCCTTGCAGATATTATTTCATTGCATTTTACCTATACTTACTATGTTGAGAGTTTGACAGTTACAGTTTTACATTCCCAGTTTTACATTTTCCCTATACCTACCGATCGGTTTATATGGCAGCTATATGATATAGTTGTCCGATTTTCATAAAATTTATACAAAAATTCTGAACTAATAAAATAAGCTTATATCTCAGAGTAGATAAAAATAGTTTGAAAAACAACGAAGTTATAATTTTTTTTCTATTAATTTCCTGATCGTTCCTATGGCAGCTATATGATATAGTCGTCCGATTTTCATAAAATTTTTACCAAAATTCAAAAATAATAAAAAAAGGGTCATATGTAAAAAATAGTGCACATATGTTGAAAAACAGCTAAGTTATAATTTTTTTCTAAAAATTTATCGAACATTTGTATGGCAGCTATATGATATAGTCGTCCGATCCGGCCCGTTCCGACATATATAGCAGTGAGAGCATATAGAAGACTATATGCAAAGTTTCATTCAGATAGCTTTTAAACTGAGGGACTAGTTTGCGTAGAAACAGACAGACAGACAGACGGACAGACGGACAGACGGACAGACGGACAGACGGACAGACGGACATGGCTAGATCGACTCGGCTGTTGATGCTGATCAAGAATATATATACTTTATAGGGTCGGAAACGTCTCCTTCACTGCGTTGCAAACTTCTGACTGAAATTATAATACCCTGCAAGGGTATAAAGATTCCCCCATTAAAATTGTGACTAGATCCTTACTTTTAGGGTGTATTACCCCACTGTGGTACATTACCCCACAGCCAGCTCCTACTCTTTCCCTCTCTCTGTATTTTTCTCTCGCCTCTGCCGCTCTCTGTTGGTGGGACTCTCATGTGTGGGGCTGCGTTGGGTCTCGCGAAACTTTTAACCAGTTTAAGTTTACATTCGGGTGATCGCAGACGTGCCCTGGTGAAAAAATCGGAACCATCGGCAAACACAAAGCGCAGCGGAAACGAAGAAAAGAACAGTGGAACGGAACGGAGCCTGGGAGGCAGTGGAGTAAAGTCGTGTCGTCATTGTTGATAGATCCGTACGACTGTGTATAGGTGCCTCTGTGTTGATGTATCGCCGCCGCTATTCCGCCTTTGAGTCGAGCACTCCCCGCGTGGGCGTGCTACCCTCTCCACCGCCGACAGCTATATCTGCAGCAACAGCAACAAAGCCATCCAAATTAAGCGTGCGCTTCGACCCAAATTTACCCAAAGATAATGACAGCAACAACAACCTGAACAGCACTGAAAATGCAAATGCGAATTCGAGTTCGAAAGGCGGACGCAAGGCCCGATCGCTGAGTAACTCGCCGCTGTATGAGCGCAAGAAGCGTTACGGCCATCTGCCGTCGCTCATCTCATCGCAAAACGGACCGACGGCCAGCGCCAACTATCAGCTGTTAAACAGTGCAAATCTTCGCGATTTCGTTGACGGGCAACGCCACTCACAGCACGTAAGCCGGCGCGATGACACCCCGGGCCATATTAGCCATAGCAACGGCGACGTTAGCAATATTGGCCATAACAACATACCAACAAAAACCAAAAGTAAGCCTCTGAAAGATGGCAACAAGTTGAAGGCAACCTTAACGGCGGCCATGTCGTCATCGCTGCTGCGACGCAAGGCACATACCAATCACAGTCAACAGCAGCAACAACAACTTCAGCAACAGCAGCAACTACATCAACAAATGCAACAGTATAAGCAACCGGGGAACAGCAGTCACACAATTGGCAATACTGCCCGCCATTCGCTGGGTCATTCACCTTCTGCCGCCGCCTCAGCCGCCTCCGCCGCTGCTGCAGTGCAGCAGACACTCGTCTATGAGCGACGGCGTGTGAGCAGCGCACACTCCTCACCCCGCCGTACCCAGTCCCCAGTGCATCAGTGCCTACTGATGCGACGGCGCAGCGATTACAGCGTAGAGCAGATCGAGCAGTGGAAACGTCATCAGCAAATGCTGCCTCGATCCGGACGCAAGATCAGTGTGAGTTTTGGTTCGGAGACCACTGAAGACAAAGGAAAACCACAATGAGACTGCGAAGAGTAGAGTCACGACTAGTGCCATGGTGGAGTTTTGATCAACGCATTATTTTTTCCTCGCCTCTCGTTTAGATGAGAGTGCACAGCAATTTATATTTAGTCCAAGTGGGGGATCAATATCTTTCTGAAACTAAGTACATAGGGTGGTATTGCTAGATTACCTAGATATTATTACACAGGAACACAAAATTAAACTTTGTGAAATTTCCACGAACCATTTCTAGTTTTCCATGATATTTGGGTGCTCCTGAGCAAAAGTCCCATACAAAATTATTTTCCATCACCTACAGGTTCCTCGGTATACCTAAGAATACAAAAAACCGATGTTTGCCGACATTTTGAATTACGTGGCCTATATAATTGGACTTACCTTTATTATTTTCGGTAGGACCTACTCTCAATACATCACGGCACTACTAAAAAATAGTCCCAATCGTGGACCATTCCCCATGTCTTTGGAATTCGACGCCAAAGTTGAAACTCCCAAAATTTTCAGCATTTCTGTGATGAAAAAATAGTTCTGAGAATTAAATCTTATATGGAACTAATTTTAAATATTCATTGAATCTATTGTTCATTGTATTCTTTAATTTCGGTTTAAAGCGTTTTCATGAGGACATTTTATTGGGTTTATTAAACGAATAAAACCGCTTTTTTGGTTTGATTATCTACTCCTATTTTCTGTCAAAATTCAAATAAGTCAAGGCAACCTATAGAATGCGAGTAAATATGTATCTTTTTATATATAATATAAATTTAGATTTATATTAAATAAAAAGGTCTTCGCTGGCTACTAAGCTGTCTTAAAAATGTTATGTTCGGAAGACCTTTTTATTTAATATAAATCTAAATTTATATTATATATAAAAAGATACATATTTACTCGCATTCTATAGGTTGCCTTGACTTATTTGAATTTTGACAGAAAATAGGAGTAGATAATCAAACCAAAAAGCGGTTTTATTCGTTTAATAAACCCAATAAAATGTCCTCATGAAAACGCTTTAAACCGAAATTAAAGAATACAATGAACAATAGATTCAATGAATAGTTAAAATTAGTTCCATATAAGATTTAATTCTCAGAATTATTTTTTCATCACAGAAATGCTGAAAATTTTGGGAGTTTCAACTTTGGCGTCGAATTCCAAAGACATGGGGAATGGTCCACGATTGGGACTATTTTTTAGTAGTGCCGTGATGTATTGAGAGTAGGTCCTACCGAAAATAATAAAGGTAAGTCCAATTATATAGGCCACGTAATTCAAAATGTCGGCAAACATCGGTTTTTTGTATTCTTAGGTATACCGCGGAACCTGTAGGTGATGGAAAATAATTTTGTATGGGACTTTTACTTAGGAGCACCCAAATATCATGGAAAACTTGAAATGGTTCGTGGAAATTTTTGGCTGTGTACCTGTGTTATTAGTTGGATTGGAAGTTAGCTTATTTATTATTTTATCCTATAAGAGTTCAAAACTAAGAGCTCACAAAAATTGTTGTTGTTCTAACAGCTTAGGTTTGTTTAGCGTTAATAACAAAACGTTATTAACGCTTTGGTTAAAGTGACAATCAGAAAAATCACAATGACAAGATATTAAAACTAAACTAAAACTATTAAACTAAACTGAATTTAGTATAAACAAATAGATTTGCAAAAAGACACATTTAAAAATAGAGCCATTTCATTACAATCATACATGAAAGAAGAACTTTGATTTACTTAAATCTTTTTAAATTGTACATTAAGAATTTTTCCCACTGTGCAGACTTTTCTTGACCCCATTAGCTTCTTGATGCCGCAGCGGGAGGCGTCAAGGCGGGGATCGTGAGCGCCAATACAAACGTTTAGGCTAAACCAAAATTGGCTTGTGTACTGAACACTTGTATGTGAGCGTAATTTTTCAATTGCCGTGTGTGATATGGGGCCCCCTCCCAGATTCCCTCGTTTCTCACTAATGTGTCATAATTCCACAATTGCACATTTCAATGTTAATTCAACCCAACTCGAGCGAATGAACGAAATAGTATTTCATTGGAGTCGCCAGAATGGTTTTGTTTTCCTTCGGTTTTATCTGTGATTTCACTTGCTGATTAACAGATAACACGTATGAGAACTATATCAGCGCAATTAAAACTATTATTTACGAACAGTTCCCCCATTGTTTACTGTAGCTATCGTATTATTCTCTTCACCTTCTGCGTTTTCCGCTCAAAAAGATCCTATAATAGTGACCCATATAGAAAATTTTGAATATAAGTGGGCAGCGCGGATGAATACACTTAGCAGCAATTATAATAAAAAGGTGTAAACTATTCTCCAACTAAAATAAGCTGCGCAACACTGTACGTATGTACATTTTTATGACTTATTTCGCTCGCTTATTTTGTTTTGTTAATGATAGCTTACCGCGCTTATGTAACTAACAGTTATTAATAAGGGCTTGTATAGGTGAGGTACGAGTTTAAAAATAAATTTTATTTCTTCTGCGACGATGTTTCAAATTGTCTTTCTCTTTTCTTACCATATGGTAACATTTTGTGAATGAATTACAATTTTATATTAACATATTTTTCTTTTATTTCAGTTACCTGTCGCTGATCCGTTCCTAGAGAAAGTAAATCTATCTGATTTGGGTAAGTTTTCAAACCACCCTCTCAAATGGCGTGCATTTCCACCGTACCCCTTCCCCCTAAGAATATAGAAAAATGTTTAATTTAAATAAATTAGCAAACACACTTGGCATTCGATCAAGAGTCGGCCTCTGATGCCGTTCTGTGGGCACACGACGCTATCGCCAGAACTAATAACAGAAAAACCTGCCAGGGGTATACATATATAGATCGAAGAAGAAGCACACCCATGGAATCGAAGGCATAATTCACGGGGATTATGGCAGGAGGAGGATTTAAGAACAGGAATGGTCCATCCACTTGTTGGCGTGGGCAGTCCAAAATGCGACTTAGAGCATAATCGTTTTGGGCGGTAGATACATACATATGTAGATACATAGTTATCTATATATTCTTTTCTATATCTTTGCTCAGATTGGTAGAGGGAAGATCTTAACGTGGGCTGACCGAACACACCCCCAAGTTTTTATTTGGCTTTTCCGATTTTTCAGATCGGTAGCAATGCTAATTATAAGTTCCAAGTACGCCGGAGATCGCTCGGGGAAAAGAGACGTGAACGTGGTAAATGTGGACAAGCGGATCGAAAGAGCAGGGGGGAGAGGAGAAAAATAGTGCATGTAATTTGTTAGCCATTTCAGACGTTTCATGATCCTCATTAACGTCAATTCCCAACCGATCCGATCCAAACCGTTCTCCCACCAAAGATTATATTCAATTTATAGAATGTAGTGTGCTCTGTGAGAAATTTTCGGATTCGTTTCAGAGATTTCTGCTCTGCTCGGGTGTTTTTCCCAATTTGTATTTTGTTCTATCTGCGAGTATCTTTTGTTTGTTTTTGCGCTTTTTCCTGACGAAAAACTTTTCCGACCCAAGAGCGCGATCGCAAGGGAGAGGGAGAAGAGAACATCAGCACACAGACTGCAGATCAGTTTATGATAAAATTTCGAATCGTTTAGAACGTCGCCAACGAAAGACGGGCAGACGACGAAAATTTCGACGATTTTCCGTGTGTTTTACGGTTTTTCTGTGGAATTATTATTGGCAGCGGAGAAACTTGCCCGCGTTCTCGCACTCTATATGTGTCGCCTAGTCGTCTATATGTGCCGAAGTTCTTGAGTGATTATGCATATTACTTACAAAAGCCAGACAATTGAATTGACCAACTGCCAGGCAGGCGAAGTCGGTTCCTCCTCGAAGGTCTTCTTCGCCTGATTTGGCTCTTAGTCATTTGTCAGGAATTTTCGAATAGCGCCGCGACGCCAAAAGCAACTGAACCGAGACATTGCCTCCTCTCACCTACCTCCTAGTACCTAGTACTTCGCACCCAATGCCACGCACTGTGGAAATGGGTTTGCAATTGTTTTGATCCCTCACAATCACACATATAGCCACAAAGAAATAGAATAATCAACAAAAGCCGACAACACCAAGAAGCATTTCAATTAAATCGTGTAGCCCGTGGCCTGCTGTCAAAAGAATCGCAAAACGTAGTGTTTGAAACAATAACCCATATATACATATGTATGTATATACATACATATATTTATATATAATCCTCTGTATGCAGGCTAATATTTATATACGAATGAAAACCAATCAATACAGAGAGAGAAGGAGAAAGAAAGCGAAGGAATTAACTCTTTATCACTGTTTTCTTAGGCATTCAAGCCCATGCACTTGTTTCCATTTATTAAACAATATTTGAATGTTTACACAGCTTCGGCGGAAATCATATTGCCATTTGCTTTTGGCAGCATATATTTTAAAATTTATTTTATGGTCTTTATTACGTATGTTTACTGCCACCGCTTTCTGTCTGCCGGGTTTCAGTTTCATTTTATACCCAGAATGGATCGATTGTAAATAATATAATGGCCAACTGTAAGGGTATTTAAACTTAGGCGTGTCCAAGGAATGTTGTAAATTTCGATATATATTAGGGATCGTAAGTGTTATAATTTTTACAAAAAAAAAAAAAATAATAATAATAATAAAAAATGATTTTTTTTTGTATTTTTCAACTTTTTCTGAAAAATTATTATTTATTTTTTTTTATATATATATAAAAGTTAAATAATAACTGTGATTTTTATTTAAAAAAATTATAATTGAAAATAAAAATTATTTTCCAATTTTTACTTCAAAAATTTTAGAATAATAGTTATTTGTCAATTTTTCTTTTAAAAATTAAAAAAAAATAAAAATCATAATGATTGAGAAAATATATATATAAGGACAGACGAGAATGTCTAGATCGAATTGGCTGTAGATGCTAACCACTATCATTTGCTGAGTTGCAAATATCTGAACAAAATTACAATACTTTCTGTATGAAACCCGCTCTACAAAGAAATAAATCGAAAATATTCTGTTAGCTATAAATAATTTGAAAACGTACAAAAAATGATTTCCAAATGCATTTTTCCCATAGTAAGAAAGCGAATAAAACGTCATAGACATTCGAAATTTTAGTGTTGACCGGTTCGCATTGGTTAATTAATTTCTTGGCACAACTGTCCGTCTCAATATCTGTTGTGTCCGTAAAATGCTGAAAGCGGTCGGTGTGTTGTGTTTGGCTTTCAATTATCAGGCCTCTGACAAGCCAGATCTACTACAATCCATATCATTATATATTTTGTTGTGTGTGGTATTTAATTTTTGATTAACACCTTTTGGACCCGCCTCAATATTTATTTGTTTACATACTGTGCACAGAACCATCTAAATTTTGCCCACCCTCCTCTCTCGGGCTTTCCTATAGTCTCGATGAGAATTGAAACTCAAATAATATTTATTGTTGAACAATTCGGTGAAGCTATTCTGGTGTGTTTGGCGTGCTTGTGGCTGCTTCTGTCGAATTGTCGTACGCTAAATTTATTTTAATTAAAAATGTCTTAATTTAATTTTTCGAAACGAGCGCGCCCAGAAATGTATGGCATTTAATTGCTTGGTAACCCAGTCGATCCACATCGGTGAATATTGTTGTGTCTCTGGGTTCAGTTGCGATCTACATGTGTACATTGTTTCTTCGACCCAACTAGACGCAGTGAGAAGCGCGTAGAGAGGCGCAAGTCTGTCAGCATACTGTTAGTGGCCTGTTAGCTATTTAGTTGCCCAATAGGAGGAGCAAACCAATTAGCAACAAATCGAGTCTCCCAGTTAATTGCTAGCGCTCACAGACCTCAGGCAACACAAGATCAGATCGGTTAGGATCAGATTAGCGTAATGAGACATTGAGGATCCGACGCAGGGCAGCTAAACACGAGTGAAACGCCAGCACTCCGAGAAGCCAGAACGCATGTTACAGTTGCACTTCTATTCGAATCATGCGGGTCGCCTGGTGCTCGGCGGTGGCAGCGGTCGCCCGGCCGACGTCCTTTGTTACCCTTTGGAGAGCATCAAAGAGTTCGAGCAGATCTCTGAGGCCTGGAAGCGTCTGCTAGCCGAGCTGCTCAAGAAAGGTGCCCACTACAGACTCCCCATAATTTGCATTTGAACCACAAAATATCTCTATGACTTGGGCATTGATTATCCCTCACATATCTCTGTTATCCTTTTTTTGCAGAGGAGGACGACTCACAGATCTTCGTGAAGTTCTTTCGCTTTCACAAGTGCTATGATCTGATACCCACCTCCGCCAAATTGGTTGTCTTTGACACGCAGCTGCTCGTAAAGAAGGCCTTCTACGCACTGGTCTACAACGGCGTGCGTGCAGCACCGCTCTGGAATTCAGAAAAGCAGCAGTTTGTGGGCATGCTGACCATCACGGACTTTATCAAGATCCTGCAAATGTATTACAAGTCGCCCAACGCGTCCATGGAGCAGCTGGAGGAGCACAAACTGGACACGTGGCGAAGTGAGTAGTCTATTCGGTAATCCTCTCTAGAACGAAACTGACTGAATTGCCTCCAGGTGTACTGCACAACCAGGTGATGCCATTGGTTAGCATCGGGCCGGATGCCTCCCTCTACGATGCCATCAAAATTCTCATCCACAGCCGCATTCATCGCCTGCCCGTCATCGACCCGGCAACCGGCAATGTCCTCTACATCTTGACACATAAACGCATTCTGAGGTTCCTCTTCCTATACGTAAGTCCTGGCCCCGTTTTTCCCGCCGCTCTACCAGAATATTAAAAGGTCGTTTCCCGTTCAGATTAATGAATTACCAAAGCCCGCTTACATGCAAAGGAGTTTGCGCGAACTGAAGATTGGCACCTACAATAACATCGAGACCGCCGACGAGACGACGAGCATTATCACGGCGCTTAAGAAGTTTGTGGAACGACGCGTCTCGGCGCTACCGCTAGTGGATGCCGAAGGACGGCTTGTCGATATCTATGCAAAGTTTGATGTGATTGTAAGTAGACCACGAAAATTAGTTCGCAAATTCTAATTTTGTGTTAATACATCTTATGTGTTCTCCTGCCATTAGAATCTCGCCGCTGAGAAAACCTACAACGATCTCGATGTGTCCCTGCGCAAGGCCAATGAGCACCGCAACGAATGGTTCGAGGGTGTGCAGAAGTGCAATCTGGATGAGTCGCTTTATACGATCATGGAGCGAATCGTTCGCGCAGAGGTTCATCGCTTGGTGGTGGTCGACGAGCAGCGCAAGGTCATCGGCATCATTTCGCTGTCGGACATCTTGCTCTATCTGGTGCTGAGGCCCAGCGGCGAAGGCGTCGGCGGCTCGGAGAGCTCTTTACGGGCCTCCGATCCCGTTCTCCTGCGCAAGGTGGCCGAAGTGGAGATACCAGCCACAGCGACAACGACAACGCCCCCGCCTCGCAGTCCGTCAGCCGGATCCGGCAATCGCAGCCTGATCGAAGACATACCCGAGGAGGAGCCGACGGCGCCAACGTCCAAGAGCAACGACGCTGACAGTGATAACAACAAGTCCGCCAGTGAGGATAAGGCCAACAACAATCGGCATGAGACGCCGACGGAAGCAACAGCTAATGGTGATAGCGGCAACAGCCCCGTGGAAGTGTCCTTCGCCGATGAGGCGCACGAAGATGATGAAGCCGCCGACCATATCGCGCGCAGCAATTGTGATGATGACCAGGAGGATGAAGAAGAGGTGCTGGCGGAGATAGAGCACAAAAAGGCAACCGCCGCGGCGAGAGTCCCCGAAGAGGACGAGGATGGCCTAAGCAGCGCCGTCTCCACCGCCTCCGCCTTGGGGCAGTCTCTAGCGACGCCCGCGTCGCGAGAGATGGCGCTGGTTAGTGAATAAAGCATTAACTTAAACACAAGCTAAACAGATTCAGCTGCAGCAAGGAAAACAGAAACAGAAACACTAAAGGAAACGGAAACAAATGCTAAAACAATAACTAAGAGAACCCAAAACAACAATAATGATAAAGCAGAGAAAATTATATTTGAATATTACTAGTTGTTAAGGATATATTATTATTACAATTATGAAATATTATGTATTTTACAACAACCAACTAAACGCAAAACAAAAACAAACGCTGTTAACAAAATGTTTATATATACACAACACACACACACAAGAAACCGAAAACAAAACAAATTACATTAGAGTGTCTTTAAATTTTAAACGATGTAATTGATTATTATTATATGATAGTACAGTAAAAGTGAGACATTGCGTTTTATTCAATTTTTTTTCTGGGATTATTATTATTGCATTAAATAGAAAACCCTACCCTATTTAATTTTCCAAATGCAGATTGTTCGTTTTCATTTCCTTTATTGGAATCTTATTAACAACACGTCGTGTTGGGAATTATTTAAATTTTAAAACGTTTTTGTTAAAGGAGGCTTTTAGGTAACCTACTCCTTGCTTTGTGGGAGCATGCTTCTGGGTGGGGTGAAACCAAAAACGGATTTTATCAGTAAACTTTAACGGTATTTGTAGCAAAACATGATTTCAAGAATATAGTGTGTAGAATATCATGAATCGCTTCACTTCGAATGAACGCGCTGAAATAGTGGCTTTACATTGAAAATAGTCGTTCAGTTGTGTTGACTCAAAAAACTCAAAAGAGGCTACATTGATCGGCCATCCAGATCTCCAGATTTCACACCTCAGGACTTCTTTTTGTGGGAATATTTGTAAGGCAAGTTTACGCCAGCAAGCCTCAAACCATTAACGAGCTCATGAAAAATATTCGTGCAATAAATATTGCTATACCACCTGAGATGCTAGAAAAAGTGATGGAAATGCAGCAAAAGGGGCACATATTGTGTATCTTATAAAGGCGGCCACTTGATTGATATTGTTTGCAAAAATTAGTCTGAAGAAATTCTAAAGAACCAAATTAAATAAAAATATCTCATACTTGAAAATATGTTGTTTATTTTCAAAGATATTCAATGTTTACATTCCGACATAAAAGATGGCGCACCCTGTATAAAATCGTTCTATCACCTAAAAATATATTTGATCTGCATTTAAATTTGACGAAATATAAATCTCTTAGCGGACAATTGAATAATTAAATGAGTATTTGTTTTAACTGATTTTTTTGTGGATATCACTGTTTTCGGTGTTCATAATATGACCCTACTATGATCAAATGATTTGATTTGATTCAAATCCCAACCCATATTATTTAAAAATATAAATAATTTCTTGTTGATCTTACTCTTAAAATGAATATTTTATTTTTATGCGATTATTACTCGATTTGAAAATGTACGAAATAGTAGAACATTTGACACAATAAAAGTTAAATCTTGTACTTTGCATATTACAGGAGTATGTATTAACCTTTTATTACATTAAAACAACTCTCTTTTTAAAATTCTTTTTGCGCTTATCCTTATTGTTTAATTTGTAGGTTCAAGAAATTCATATTTGAAATAAATCGTTAATCATGAATTAAGAAAACTTCGGTCGATGTGGCCGACTATGAGATGCCCGGTGCCCAAGGCATTGTGATTCGAATTAAAGGCAACAATTATGTATGAATATAAATTAGTGATAGAAGTTTGGGCCTAATTGGTTCACTTTGCAAAACGTAGTTACAAAAAAAAAACATAAATCTGCAGGAGGTGATGGTGCAAGAGAGTAAAGTTCTTTCAAATTGTTTAAACTTCGTAATTAATTGGGGTTAGGAAATGTGTCAGGCTTACAATCTCCACAAATTTGTAGGGAACACGAAGCAATACCCATTAAAAATGTTCAGGGTTAAATAAGCAAAGTTTTCGAAATGAATCCTTATCAGTTGTAACGGCAACAATTTGAACTGGCGCCAAATACCGATTCAAGTTCTATGTGACTGCCAACTCAGCTGTAGCTGTGTTTGCGCGCCTTTGCGAATGTCTGCTTTACACGTGCAATTGGAAATATTGTTTTTCTTTTGTTTGTGCCCCATAAACAACGAGTGTGCAGTGCATCTCGGCCAGAATGAACCACTTTGAGATCCGGGAGATACCCGGCAAGGGTCGTGCCATGATCGCCACCAAAAACTTTGCGTCCGATGAGGTGATTTTTGAGGAGGAGCCGTTTGTGTCAAAACAGTTCTCGTGGAACGTGGCCTACGGCTATGCCGCCTGCGACCATTGCATGAGACCGCTAGAAACGGTGCTGGAGAATGTGCGTCGCCTAGCCAGCGACCCCAAGGTGGAGGTCCCTCTGCTGGAACACGACCCCACTGCCGCTTGGGTGGGCCAGTTCACCCAGTGCCCCCGCTGCAAAGTGCACTACTGCTCTGAAGACTGCCGCATGGAGGCCTACAAGCGGTACCATCGCGAGGCCTGTATGGGGGCATTCCGCTCTGATGACACGCATCCCATCAACGTGCTCAACGAGACGTGGAAGAAGATGCATTACCCGCCGGAAACGGGCAGCATTATGTTGATCGTGCGCCTGATGGCCCTGTACAAGCAGAGTCCAAAAAAGGAGGAGTTTCTCGAGCAGCTCCAATCCTTTCAAGCATTGATAGTCAATCGCGAGCAGAAGATCTATCACAAGATGCTGGGCGAGAATTTTGAGCAGCAGATGGAGCAGCTCTATAGAGCGTTCTGCAACGCCTTCGCTGGAGAGGAGTTTTCCTTGGTATTCATTCAAATTTAAACAATAACCTTAAAACATTCCTAAAAATGTCCCTTGACTCGTCAGTTCACAACTCCCGATGCCTTCAAAACTCTAATGGGAATTATGGGCACCAATAGCCAGGGAATTGCGACCAGCGTGCTATCACAGTGGGTAACCAAGGTCTCCGAACTGCCGCTGCCGGATGCTGACAAGGCGCAGCTAGACACGGTCATCGATGGACTATACGCCAAGGTGGGAGAATGTAAGTACTAGTAACTTGTTGCGAAAGTGCTCTGCGTAATATTTCCGTTGCCCCTATGTTTAGTTGCTGGCGAATTTCTGAACAACGAAGGCTCCGGACTGTACCTGCTCCAGAGCAAGATCAATCACAGCTGCGTGCCGAATGCCTGCTCCACATTTCCGTACTCAAACGACATTGTGGTGATGAAGACGTTGGTCCCTATCCAGGAGGGCGACGAAATCTGTATCTCCTACCTCGACGAGTGTATGCTAGAGCGGAGCCGTCACTCGAGACACAAGGTCCTGCGCGAAAACTACATATTCGTCTGCCAGTGTCCAAAGTGCCGTGCCCAAGCCTCTGATCCCGATGTGACCAGCGACGAAAGCGAGGACGATGACGAAATGGATGACTACGAAGAAGATGACGACATGAACTAAAATAATTTGCATACCATGTTACTTTCCTTTTTTATTATCATAAAGCGTACCAGAGGATTTGCGTACATATTTAAACTAAGATCACGGATGGCAACTCAATTCAGATCGGAGTCCTCAACATCGTAAATAGTAGATTATTATAGTATATTTTTCAGGATATGCTCCCGAATTCCTGAAAAGACCATCCTAATGTACACACGTACATACATGTGTAAAGTTCACCCTATTCTTTCCTGGAAATTGACGTTATACAACACTAGGCCATCAACAAGCTTTTTTGTAGCGCGATCTCTTGTATTTCAACTGGTTTTGCAAAGTGCGTAGAAAATCGAGCAAATACATATTTGTGTAGTTTTATCCCGGAAGCAGCGAAATATGCCACACCGACTCTCTCTTACCTCATCCGTCCTATCGATCCTGCACAGCGCCTGCGGCTTGTACTTTTACATGAACGAAACTGAGCGCAGGTGCTTTATTCAGGAGGCACCAGATTACACTTTCGTGACTGGTAAGTGCTCGCAACCGACAGAGACCACCACTAACTTCGCACTTTTGCCGGCACAAAGTGAACTACAAAGCAGAAGTGAGGGACCCCCAGCTCTCCAACGGTTTTATGTCCTTGTCCTCCGGCATTGGAATCCATTGGGAGGTGCGGGATAGCGACAAGAAGGTTGTCCTCTCACGCACTTACAACTCGGAGAGTCGCTTTTCATTTACGACTCACTGGCCCGGTGACCACTCCATTTGCCTGCAGTCGAACAGCTCCGCCTTGTTCGAAGGCTCCCTGTTGCGCGTTCATTTGGATATTCGAGCGGGCAAGCCCACCGTGGACTGTGAGAGTGTGACACAGAAGGAGAAGCTGGATCAAATGCAGCTAAAAATTCGGCAACTTCAGAATCAGGCCGAGAAAATCCTCAGAGACCAGAACTACCACCGCTTCCTCGCCGCGCGAATGAATCCATCTACTCTAGGATGGTCTGGTGGTCTATACTCCAGGTCTTAGTCCTCGTTTTCGTCTTTGCACACATTATCCATAATTTAAATAAGCTGTCGTTCTTGCACAAAGCCTTTTGCAGGGTCCTCTGTGAGGAGACATTGGCCAGAGTAAGTGGAGGTGTTTGGTGAGTCGACTAATTGCATCCTTGAATCCAATTAGTTCAAGACGGCAGAGGCTTACAACGCACTTATGGAACTTATTGGAACCGAAGGACAGGGGCTTTCCAACAAGGCCATCTCGCAATGGATAACGCAGTTTTCGGATCAGGAACCAACAAATGAGAATGAGCATATGAATATCAATGAAATGCTTCTAAACCGAGTGAATGAATGTAAGTGAATGCAATCCGTCAGCCAAACTGGTTGCTAAGCATCCTCTTCCCACACAGTTGTTGAAAAGTTCCTGAGAAAGGATTCACAGGCAACAGCAAGAAGTCCCCACTACTACGCTTCCAATGTTAATTTGATGAACCTCCTGGCCAGCACAAATAGGGATCGCAGTGGCCACTTGACCGGCAACACCTTCTTGCTCGTCTGCGAATGCGAAGATTGCAAAGCCAAAGACTCAACGCAGAGTGGGGACCCAGAAAAATCATAAACTCGACTTTCGACGTCTGTCATGTACATTTTTTCGTTTTGTTCTTGTTATTCTATCAACAGGTCGCCCCTAAATATAAAGTAAATATATAAATGGCTAACAAATCTCAGGAGCTACCTTCGGCACCGCCGGCGATTACGGGCGTCAGATTAATTAGGTTATTGCTGCTCTCGGCCAGTTCGGCGATGGAGACGCGGCCGCGCTGCTTAATGAACTTTGCCACCGCGGCCAGTTCCTCCTCTGAAACGTAGATAAACTTGCCGCGATCGTCGATGACACCAGTGATGGTGCCATCAGCCTGCAGCTCCTGGATGCGGTCAATGGCCTGCTGCGTCTTCAGCTTGAAGGAGACTGCCAGGTCCTCTAGAAGGACCACCTTGTTGTTTTTGAGATACTGGATAAAGTCGGCAAGGAGGTTGTCCTTCTCGTCGACGTCGCCCTCCTCAAAGCCCTCTTCTTCAACGCTGAAGGCTGCCTTCATCTTCAGGTACTCCTCGTGCTCCTTTCGCTCACGCTCCTCCTTGGCAAGGCGCTCGGCCTCTATGCGCTTTCGCTCCACCTCCGCCTCGAGATCCTCCTGCTGCTTTCGCTCAGCGTCGTCCTTGGCCTCCTTCGCCTTGCGCTGCTCGCGATCATGTAGCTCCTGCTCCCGCTGCAACCGCTTCTGCTCCTTGGCCTCCATCTTGGCCCGCTTCTTGGCGCCCATTTTCTCATCCAGCACAGCTCCCTGCGGCACGCGCGCTCCATCGGCCTCGGCGTCAGCCTCATTCTCGTTATCCGAGTCTGCATGAGCTGCCTGGGCCGCAGCTCCAGGTGCCGGAGCAGCTGCCGCGGGGGCGTTCTGGCGCAGTCGATTGCGCTGGTTCCTGGCTATTTGGGCACGTCGCGGAACACCCTCCTGTGCACGTTGTGGGACGCCACGTTGTGGGGCGGCTACCCCTGGCTTAGTTTCTATTTGGGGTGAATGGTTAGTCGGATCTCAGAGAAACAATGACATTTCTTTTACCAGCAGCTGCGCCGGCATTTTTCTTTTGGAGGAGGTACAGAGTGATTATCACGACTAGCAGGGCCGTGGCGATCCCCACGAGAATGATCAGGTCCATTATCTCCTAAAAGCACGGATTGCACCCGATGTTTTGGCAAAAATGTTTTGTAAACGTCAACAAAAGTGACACAGCTGCACAGCTGTTGCGACGGCGTTGCCAGGCCAAAGAAATATCGGGCATTCAAACTAGAGAAGATTGCGTGAGGATAAATATCGAAACTGTATGTGGATTACTCACACTTCGGATCATGATACAATTATCATGCTTCGGTTGAAATTTGAACTTTCAAAACTAATTTAAATGTATAAATGTGCTAAGCTGGAGCTGTAATTCATTGTTTTCAGTGCATTCGTATAGGCCGTGAAAAGTCGTAGCCAAATCTTGTCACGCTACCATCTCTATATGCCAAACACTAAATTCGATCTGGCACTTTTCATATGACGTGTCGGCGAGCCTAACTTTGTTAAACTACCATTTGGAAAAGTCACAGCAAATAGCCGAAAATGCGCCATCAGTTCATCTGCCTGGTCCTGGTCATGTGCGCCTTGCACAGCGCCTGCGGCCTGTACTTCCACATATCGGAGACGGAGCGCAAGTGCTTCATCGAGGAGGTTCCCGACGAGACGACGGTGATAGGTAAGCCGCCGCGTACAGAGTGGATTGCCAACTCGAATGGCCAGCTCCGCAACTAATCGGTATTTCTTCTGTTCTCTACAGTGAACTACAAGGTGGAGCTGTACGATCCGCGCTCCAACGGATTCATGCCCTCGTCCCCCGGCATAGGAATGCATGTGGAGGTGCGAGACAGCGATGACAAGATAGTGCTGTCCCGAGTGTACAGCTCCCAGGGCCGCATCTCGTTTACCTCGCACACACCCGGAGAGCACGTCATCTGCATGTACTCCAATAGCACCGCCTGGTTCAGCGGCGCTCAGCTGCGCGTTCATTTGGACATACAGGTGGGCGAGCACGCCATCGACTATGCCAATGTGGCTCAGAAGGAAAAGCTGACGGAGCTGCAACTGCGCATCCGGCAGCTTCTCGACCAGGTAGACCAGATCACCAAGGAGCAGAACTACCAGCGTTATCGCGAGGAGCGCTTCCGCCACACCAGCGAAAGCACCAACTCCCGGGTTCTCTGGTGGTCGCTGGCTCAGACTGTCGTGCTGGTCTGCATGGGTTTCTGGCAGATGCGCCACCTGAAGAGCTTCTTCGAGGCCAAGAAGCTGGTGTGATGTGGTCTGCTTCTCAGCTGCCGCACTGTTCTGTGTTTTTCTCCCCATTTGGCTTCCCCTGGTGAACGTGTGGCAAGAACTGCGAAATTCATCGAAGGATCGATCATCAACAACCAGCCACAAGCCTCGACTCCAAGCACTTCTAGTTTTAATTTCTTGTGCGTAATTTAATAAAAATCAATTGTACAAAAACGGACGACGGTGACTTGGTCCACCCCATCGCCGCAGTCAGCTGAGCCGGGTCCCGTGACTATGTTTGCCTCGCTGAGCTTGTCTTGGGCTTATCAGCAGCCTCCAGACAGATAACCTGTGGCGTCGGCGTTAACTCCCTAGTTTCAAGCTCCGCGCTGTCTGCATTGCGACTGCAACGAACTGCTCCAACTGCCCTTTATCTCGTTCGTCGCTAGTAGCTCGTGGACCGTACTGCTAGGTGGTCGTCAGTCACGGCACAAATCCAACGTCAAACAATAAAGCGCGTTGTGGCGGCAGCCAAATCGACCCACAAAAGCCGCAACTCTGTAACCTGATCCGGACCGAAGCGCTTGTAAGTCAACAGCCCAGGCCTCCTCTCGCTCTCCGATTCAGTTCGTCAACGTCGGACTAGGTGCACGGCTGTGGAAATGTTTCGCGCTACGGAAATCGGCAGCGAAGAAAGTGAGTCTGAGGGCAGATAAGATAAGATCTCCTAGGTAATCCTCCCCCAACCTTCTGTCCATTACATGTGCGCTTATATATAGCCCTGCCCGCTTTGGCGGAATTAACCCAGGGCGAGGGACGGGATCTGGAGTGGGTCAGTTGGAGGGGTGAACAACGAACCCTGCTGAAGAGGCCTCAACGCAGCTCGCTGCCCAATTATGGCTTTGCTCCTCCGCCTATCCGCCTGGAGTACAGATATCCCCGCGCTGTCTTCTTCGTTCTGGCCACCAAGTTTTTTGAGGCTTTTGCTGCCAATGGCATACGCAGTAAGTGTAACAGCCTTAGTACAATTCTTCGGCTTTGTCTCCTCGACGAAAATTCCAAATCCGGCTTATCAGCGCCAGAAACGCAAACACAGGGCGTCTTATTGTGACAGTCAAAAAGTCTGAGATGCACTTTATTAAAGAAATATTTAAGTTGCAAGACATGGAATTGTTCATAACATTATTTTGTATTTGGTAACTCATTATATTATATATTTGTACAAGTATAAAATGGTAACTCTCAAGATACAGCAACCGCGGCCAAAATTTAAAACTCTAAAATCTTTGTTTTTAATATAGTCATATTAAGAAGTGTTGCAATAGATCCACATCGACAAAATCTAGCATATTCTAAAACATATTTAAAAATATTCAGAATTCGAGAAAATGGGATTCTTCATTCTTTTGGTGAAAAATATCATAAATAGGTCTTGTTTTGTTTTGATAAAAACTTTTAAGACAGCGACTTTATGCTTTGCCTTTGGCTTTCTAACATCACTCTAAGAAAGCAAGAGTAGAAATAAAATTGTTCTGTTTTATCTAAATAGTAAAAAAACAACATAAAAGGTCGGTGGTAAAAATGTCGCGTGCGAAAGGGATTAGAAAACTACTCTATATCTTAGTCAGTCCAAATACATAATAATAATATATGCTTAAAACATTCAAAATCAAAACATTAAAATCTTTCATAACGTTTCGCTAAAAACTTGTTTTTGAAGAAGTGAATTCTGTACGGTCACTTGGGAATCACTTACATTTTTGTAATTATCTTGAAATTACAGAGCTATAAGTTTCAAATTTTGTAAAATTAAAATAAAGTCTTGGCCCATGTTTTTTTCAGTTTGAATGAACCAAACATACAGTTTGTCAAGAAATTCTTTGCAAAACGAAAAATTCCCATAAAATTCTGGGTTTAACTGAAAGTTTCTTAACGAACGCAAGAAATTTTTCAACATTTTTTTTTTATAATATGTTAAGGATTAGTTAACATGCAAAACTGGAATATTTCAACTTACAAAATAATACAACTTAAAAAAAATAAGCATTGCAATTATTCAGTTGTCAAATAATTGTTTGCAAATTGCAAACCCTTCGCGGGTTTATACTACTAACTATATTACATATTTTGTTAACATTCGGTATGGAGGCCTTTTGCATCCATTACAGCAAATGTCCCACTTTCAAGGAATTTAAAATTTTGTTGTATTCAAAATCAAATAAAAATAGATTTTAAAGAGGTAAGATATTTATTAAATGTATTTTTTTAAGCATTATTTATAAATTTACCAATTGTTTTTTTTAACATTAATCAATTAGAAATATTTATTTTCAAATTTTAACTCCCATGTTTTATTATATGACTCCGATATAGTAGTTTCCTTCCGCATCTCGCTCTCGCTGCTCATCGTCCCAACGTGGACCGGCGTCCACAGTGATAATTGATTATTTATTTTTATTGTATTATAATATTTTCGCATAATATGACACAGTCTCGATTGCAGCGGCGACCTTCGTTTCATTGCCAAGAAATCGAGATTGATGGCAGCCCGGCGGCTAACCGATTAAGAAATATTTAATTCAATTTCAGCAATACTCGCCCTCTATCTGCGCGACGATCTCAACTTCACGGAGAGCTTCTCCACGGTGGTGCTGCACATCTTCAACTTTTTTGGTCAGTTCTGCCCCATCATTGGCGCGATCCTGGCGGACAGCTACATGGGCAATGTGCGCACAATATCGGCCTTTAGTTTTCTATACGCCTTCGGATGGCTCCTGCTCACTTTGACTTCCCTGCCCAACATGACAGTTTCCTTGGTGTGAGTTATACATTGATGTACATTTCTTTCGTAACATGTGTGTATCCTTTATGTTAGCCTGCTGGTGTCGATCGCCCTGCTTTTCATAGCCGTTGGTAATGGATCCATTCGCGCCTGCATCACCTCGTTGGGAGCTCTGCAGTTTAAGCTACCTGAGCAGGGTACTTCTCTTTCCGAGTATTTCTCTTTCTACTATTTCGTTTACTACTTCGGCATCTTCCTGAGCAAGATAATTCCGCCGCTGGTGCGGGCCAACACGCAGTGCTTCAACAAGACGGAGTGCTACCCAGCCGTATTCGGCACCCTGGGCAGTGCCTTTCTAATGGCCTGGTGTGAGTATCCATTGGTTAATGCACTTTGAATTAAAACCCATCGGTGATGTCAGTTATCTTTCTGGTCGGAAAGTGTTTCTACAAGGCCGAGAAGCTGGCCGAAGACAACATACTCTTTAAGTTCTGTGGCTGTATAAAAACGGGTCTGGTGGAGAAGTGGCGGCGTCGCAGGTCCCCGAAGCGGTCCAGCTACTGGCTCCACAACGCGGTTGGAGCCTATGACGAGAGTTTCGTCAATGATGTATCGCGGGTTTTGAGGGTAAGTTGAGATTCCCTCAGATCTGCTTTCATTAACAAGTGTCACAATCTTCTCCAGATTTCGAAGCTGTTTATCCCGCTGCCCTTTTATTTTGCCCTGCTGGCGCAGCAGGACTCCAGCTGGACCTTCCAAGCCACCCAAATGAACACCACAGTATTGGGCGTGACCATCCAACCGGATCAGGCCAAGGCCGTCGGGCCCATCTTCCTCTTCATGCTCATACCCCTGTGGCAGTACATAACGGTTCCTTTGCTGCGCCGCTACCTAAACTGGGAGCTGCAGCCACTCCACAGTGTGACCGTGGGCGGGATTTTTTCTGCAGGCGCTTTCTTTTGCGCGGGCGCTGTGCAAGAACGCATTATGGTGAGAAATCAACTGTTTCCAGGTCCCTTGCCATTCATCTAGTACATTTTTGTAGAATTCGCCCGTCCAAACGGTCAGCATAGCCTGGCAGTTGCCACAGTTTCTGCTCCTCATGATGGGCGAACTGCTGCTCTCGATTCCGGGCTTACAGTTCGCCTTCACCCAAGCCCCAACAACCATGAAATCTGTGGTTACGGCTGCCTGGTTCCTAAACAATGCCTTCGGGAATTTAGTAGTAGTTCTGGTCACGGAGCTGGCCCTGCTCAGCTCCCAAGTGGCAGAGTACTTCTTCTATGCGGTGGTCATGCTGGTATGCATCATCATATTCGCCCTGTTGGCGTTTGATTATACCCTGCAGGAACGGAAGGGAGGCCTTTATGTTCGGGGCTTGGACAGCGATCCGGAGGATCGGGATGTGCCCAGCACGAGTCGCAGTGACAGCATTTAATCTAGGTGGCTACATTGTCATCACTGGTAATTTATTGAGACACGCACACATGCACACACGCATTAAACTAAAAATAAATATTTAAACACCAAGTTAAGTTAACTGGGTCAGTCAATGATTTTAAACATGTACTGCAGCTCTAGGTGGCAATCATCTGGCAAATCGGTGCAGTGGACAGCGTTCTGCACCTTCGATTTACCGAACTTGGCGCGCAGCGTGTGCGGGCGCAGCAGCTTGGCGATCTCCGGGTCCATCGGGCCACAGAAGTTGCGAAACTCTTTGTGCGCTTGCTTGTCGGGATCCGCGCACGCGATCTCCAGGCACATGCATACCCCGCTGGCCAGCTGCGCCACCATGGGTATGTACTCGGGCAGCACACCGCGGTACACCTCGTAGAACTCCTCGCAGTTAATGCGCGCCATCAGGATCATGCGCATGGCCGTCACCCGGAAGCCGTTGGCCAGAATCTCCGAAACGATGTCGCCCAGCAGACCGTCCTTGATGCTGTGCGGCTTGATGATGGCTAGCGTGGTGTTCTGGAACAGGCACTCCTTGATGATTCTGTGGCTCGACTCGAAGAAGAACCGCAGGTCCATCACCACGTCGTTATCGCTGTCGGAGTAGTAAAACCCGTGGCGGATCTCCTCGCACTCGCAGAGCTCCTCCAGGCCGGGCGGCAGCTTCACAGTGGCCTCCACCTCGGTGCTTTTGTAATTGGCGCAGGCCTTCATGGTCTCGACCACGTTGTCTCCTATTAACTCCAGGCTAATAGCCGGACCAGCCAGCACTTCGTTCATCAGGACACTGGGGTTGGATCGAAGAGTAAATTTAAACCATTCGTGCGCTGTGCTACTCACGAGCTGGAGACGTTTGTCTTGTCCTTGCCGGATAGGAACTGAGTGGCCATCTTGGGTGTGAGATCTACCATCAAGCCTTGGTTTATGTTTATCTTGTTGTCGATCAGCGTCTTTAGAAACTTGCCGAGATGCTTCGTCCACATGCTGTTTTTCAGAAGAACGAAGCCCCTGCAAGGAAATAGGGAGGCAATTATGGGCAAGGCAACGAGGTGGCTGGCGAACCATAGTACCTACTTTTTGCGATATTTGGCAAGGTTGGTTCGCGTAATATCGTCCGCATAATCCACAATGTCGAACTGGCGGCCAAACACATTAATCTTGGATCCGACAAAAAAGTCGCGCTGCGTCAGCTCTGGAATCTTGGTGCGACGCAAGAAGGTTCGCTTGTTGCGCTGGTCAAACTGGCAAGGGATAACGTGTTAGTGGGAGGCTTCTGCGGGCTACTCTGGCCAAGATGACTTACCACCTCGACCGCTTTGTCGGCCACATAGTAAGTGATCAGGAAGGTGCGGATTATGCCTGCTTCCGCGTGGTACCACTCCGCCAAGAAGGCTAGACGACGTTCGTTCGCCGGAATCGCAGCTGGTTTCATCTCGATGCTTGGGCTCTGCTGGCTTTCCGTTCGGTGACTTGACACCGGACTCTAGATTTTCCGAATGGAAACACTTTGACTGCTTCCTACTTTTAAGTGTGCTTCTTCTTCCCCGCGTTTCCACAGCAACAGTGCTGCCAACGCAACCAAACAAGCAATTGTGCGCAAAATTCAAAACTATGTTTTTATTTTTTTATGCTTTCAAAACGCGCGACTTTTCAAAAAATTATTGTGGCGAAACGGCTAAAGTTAACTTAATGAATTAAATACCATATAATAACACAACATTTGAACAATTTTTGATAAATGTTGTATTCCAAACTATTTAGAGGTAGAGAAGTTATATGGAATCTCCCGAGTCGCCTCCAAAAAAAAGTTGGTTAACTGTCCACAAAATCATTCGATCTAGAAAAAGTATACCTCATTCGTTAAAGGATATTTGTCCCGAGGAATTCACAAAGCGTTTTTATTTTTAAAATTTTGTCCCGATTTTTTATCAAAATTTGTAGTCAAAACCCCGATTTTTGACTAAAAAATTAAGTTAATTTGTTAATTTAAAAATATAATAAAATTAAAAATTAAAAAAAGTTCGACGTGAGTATCTGTAGAATTACCTAAAGAACTTATGTTCCAAATTTCAAACTGATTGGTTCAGTAGATTTTGAGTTATCGTGTACACCGATTTTCAAAATGGCATTTTTTAGAAGAGCGCTTTAAACTTTGTGATTCTCATGCATTGAACACCAAACTACCTTCGTTCAACTCTGCACAACTTTGTCAATATCCCTATTATCGATGTAAAACTTGGATACAATATTCTTAAGATATTGAGCCTTTAAAATAAAAAATAAAAACAAATTTAAGAAAAAAAAAATTAAAACCTTACCCCCCCTAAAAAATTAAAAACACAGCCTCGAAAGGAGCACAGAACGACAATCTTCTCTTTTAAAGCGAATCATTGGTCGGTTAGAGTGAATGGTTTATTTTCGATAGCTCAAAAACGGATCTTTTGCAAGCCTTTTATGATTTCTTAGGCTAGAAAATGATATACCATATTTGTTACCAAGCTTTCATGGTCGGGATAAGAGTGTTTCGAGTCAAGGTGTTTTCAGTTATTGTCGGAAGGACTCCTACCTTTATTAGCCCAATATTGCGATTAATCATTTGTACTAGGCTATTACCACAGATATAAAGACAAATGTATGTTATTTAGGGGAACGAGTAATTGAGCAAATTGAGTGAACCTAATATGGAATTTAACTTTGAAAACTCGATCCATTTGAAGCTGTATTTTATACCCTCGCAGGGTATTATAATTTCAGTCAGAAGTTTGCAACGCTATGAATGATTTCCGACCCTATAAATTATATATATTCCTGATCAGCATCAACAGCCGGGTCGATCCATGTCCTTCTGTCCACCTGTCCGTTTTTACGCAAACTAGTCCCTCAGTTTTAAGGCTTCTGAATGAAACTTTGCGTATAATCTTCTATATACTCTCACTGCTATATATGTCGGAACGGATTGGATGACTATATCATATAGCAGCCATAAAATTTATAACTTGGTTGTTTTTCAACATTTTTGAGATATGGCCATTTATATCATTTCAGATTTTCGGTTTTAATTTTGTGAAAATCGGACGACTTTATCATATAGCTGCCATATAAACAGATCGGTAGATGTTGAGAAAATGTAAAGCTGGGAATGCAAAACTGTAACTGTCAAACTGTAAACATAAGTATAGGTAAAATGTAATGATCTGCAAGGGTATACAAACTTCGTCGTGCCGAAGTAAGCTTCCTTTCTTGTTTTACGCTGTAATAGGAAAAAATAATAGAAAAAAGAAAGAAAAAATTGTATATCTAAAATAGAACCATCGGAAATGAAATGATAAATGATTGTTATTTTTCAACTAGTTTGTACGATTCTAAAATATTCTACATTTTATGAAATCGAATAACTCTGTATGAATACAAATATACATATCGGTCTCACAAACATTACTAGCCGGAAGTCAGCTTCCTTTCTTGTTAAAAATGTAGGTCACTTTTGGGTTTTTAGTTTTGTTTTATTGAAATTTCCTTTATTTACAGGAAACAAAAATAATAAATTGCAATCAGATTTTGCAATGAATTGGTTGTAGCTTTCCTCCGGTTGTTAATTTCTAGCGTAAACTTATGTGTTTCCCTTGTCGGCGCTAATTCATCTTGTTCCTTGTGTTATTTCTTGTTAACATTGCTCCCCTGAATACGTATATTCATCTAAATTAAATGTGGTTTTCTTTTCGATTGGAATAGTGTATTATGTACGCATGCGTGTGCGGATGTTTTGATGGGCGATGTGGCTGGGTGATTTTTTCTTGAGAGTGCGTGGGAGAAGGAGTGATTGTGTTCGTGTTGACTTAATGGTACAAGCGCCTCGGCCAACGCTACGACTACGCCAAAGTGCTAAACACCGTTTAAGCAGCTGGCTTCTTCTTGTCGCCCTCGCCGCCCTCCTCCTCGTCCTCGTCATTCTGCGATAGGCTGGGGATGTTGTCATCCGAATCCTCTTCCTCGTCGTCGACATTGAAGTCGTCGAACTTGTTGTTCCAGTCGCCGCCAGGGCTGTTCAGGAAATTGCCAAACATGCCGTTGTCCTTGGCATCACCACCTGCGGAACAAAGCAACACCCGAAGTTGGTTCATTCAATAGTAAAAGCGGCGACTCCCAAACTCACCCTCCTCATCGTCGGATTCATCGCGCCACTTGGCAAAGTTGGCTTTCAGGAAATGCAATTTGGTCTTATCCGTGGTCAGGGAGGACCAGTAGGGGCCAGTCGCCTTCTTGGGTATTGTGAATTCTAGGCATCGGCCAATATTCTTGCTGGTCACCTTCTCGGGATCCACCTCATGCAGAAAGTTTAGTGTGACCTCGTACTTCTTCGACGCATCCAGCACATTGACGCCCTTGAAGGTGAAGCTGTTTTCCGTTACTCTGCGAGGCACAGTTCGGATTAATGGATTAGCGGTTCAGTTCGGAATCAAAAGCAATTACCAGCTGCACTTACTTGTGTTCGATGTCCTTGCACTCCACATCAATAATGACGTAGACCAAGTCATTGCGCTGAGCCCAGGAAACTGGAGGCGGAATTGAGCTGAAACGAGTGCATCATTAGGTAAACACAAACAGACTACCACTCGAGGTGTAGGGTGCTGTCCGGCTGGTAGGGTGTGCGGTTGTTATGGCAGCCCGCGCCGAATTTTCTGGAAGCCCGCTTGACAGGCCAAGACCTATGCAAATGCCGATGGCTACCATTTGCATATATGTACGATTCGACCGGCCGAAAGTCCATGCCGAAAATCCATCAAGCCAGACATAACCTCAAATGCTGCTTCCCCGATTTGGCCCACAATTATCGCAATGCAGATGCGCACGGGACACGCCCACCACCAACGCACCGCCACGACCCTCGTCGGCCATGCGGAGCTCCTTCAGCACGGAACGGATCTTTCGTAGCCAGCGCTCAGCTAGGCAGTCGAAAATGGACGCCGCTGCCACCGCCAGAAAGCACGCGATGCACAGAGAAGCCACAAAAAGAAGTCCCGGTCAGAGCCGGGAATGGGGCCGGACCAGCAGACTTTACTTACCCTGCTGCCGACATTATGTTGCTACTTGCGAAACGCTGCTTAACAGTTTACGGAGCCGGGGCACTACTGACTGACAGCCTGTTTTCGTTACAAAAAAGGCAAATCGGCTGAATAAAAATTGTCATGCACAAAAACTGAGCAGAGTGTGGCCGTTTTTAATTTTCTGGAGATTCCACAAAGTTCAACCAAAGGGCCTAAGAAATTCGCACGATTCCGACCCGACGTTAACTGGTCACACAGCGTTTTGATTAATAGTAATTTTTTGCAACTGGAATATAAATTGACGTTTTTTTACGCTTTGTATGCTAATCAACTTTCCGCAATAACTCAGACTCTGAACAGCCGCATCTGGGATGATGATGTGATTTTAGCGAGTATTAACATGGTTCCGATGTCCGGTGGGGCAACTGCACACGACTGGTTCTAGCTAGTTCCGAACATTTCGCCATCCCTAAAGCACAGTACAGAAGGAAAAAAACTGTTTATTTTGAAGTTTGAGCCTTTTTCAGGATTTTCAGAAGGAAAATGATGCGGTCATATTTTCTTGATAACGGTCTCTTTTTGAAACACAACCCCGCCAGCCTTTTATGACATTTCTGAATAAATTTAGCAGGATAATCCCTTGACGACGCCGATGTAAACTTTGATTTATACAAACTCTTTAAGCAAACTATCTTTTCTGTCCATATTTTCAGCTACCTCAGAGGCGCTAAAAGTCTGATTAAAATGAGCATAAAAATGCCCTCGGTTTCTGATCGAAAATGATTTTACCTTCCGTAGAAAATGGTATGCTAGACGACACACTTATACAAGGATTTCGGTCACCTATTTATTTTAATAACCCTGCAGTACCATTCATCAATAATTCATCAACGTTTTATCAATAGCCGAAGGGGTGTTGTTGATGATTCATCGATGAATGGCCATACAAATTACTGATGAATTTAACATGGGCATGTCATAGGCTTTCATCAATAACAATTCATCAACAATTAATGATCATTTCATCGATGAATTGTAGATGAATTACTGATGAAAGGCTGATGAAATGTTGAAGTTGATTGTATTTTAAAATAAGTTTAATTTCACAAAATTTGACATTTATAGCTCTTGAATTATTAACAATTCCCTTAATTGTAAATCATGCTGTCAGAAATATAAAAGAAAGTTACTCAAAGCATCCAATTAAGGTTTCTGAACTGTGGCAGTTGTTTTCAACTGATAAAAGCTTATTTTCTCCAAAATTATGTATACAAATTGTGGGATTTCGTGCTGAGGGGCTCTGATGCAATTTTATCAAACTAAAATAATATTTAATATGTTTGTCCATTTAAAGTTTTTTTTTGTTTTTATAAATCAAAAATATTCAAAAAATGTTAACTTTACGTTACATAAGTCTGGATTAAAAATAATTAGGCACTTCTATTATTTTTAAAACCACTGTGAATAATTTCTTAAAGGAAAATGCGCGAAATTCTGGGCAACACTCGATTCGTTGAGAGCTTGTCTGTGGAGTTCCTTAGACCGTTGTCTTGGCAACTCGTTGCGTATTCTGGCTGTTTGTTCAATTCAGCATTTAGCTTATTACAATTGACAGAGGCGAGAAGTCGTGTTGTGCAACGCAGACCAGATTCCAAAAACGCAGTAAATCTCCAATGATTTTTGATTAAGTTGCCCAGAGAGTGTGTGCCCCTGCTTGTGGAAAGAACTTTGCTTTTTGCATAGAGTTTTGGCCAAGATGTTCGTGCAGAAAAAGAAGCTGGTGGAGCATGTTTTGGCAATGCGCGGCGATGGGGGCAGTAGTGATGAGGAGGAGGAGGAGGAGGACCAGGGCGACATCCTGCAGGTGCCTGCAATTTGGAGAGAACGCACTAATTACTAACTAGCCGTATCGAGTGTACTGCAAAGTAACCGTTGTCGAATGTTGCCTTAGAAAGTTGCGTAATGCATATTGCCCTAGATACCAAAAGCCCCTTTGATCGATTACGTAATCGCAATCCCAGCCAGTTGCAATTCCCAAACTTGCGCGTGTAAATTGCTGCTGCTATTTGAGGCCCCGTAATATCCATCTAATATCTGTACACGTGTTTTCATTTCGTTTTAGCTGAGTAACTAACTCCTAACTACTTAACCACCTAATCGCAACTGTACAGAACATCACTCCCGTTGCTGCAACCCAAACCTAGTAATCTATTACAAATCACTCCTATTATACTGTATAGCGTTCGAAGAAGTATCGCACTTTTGATTTTTGTACTACCTTATGTATCCGTTGTCACGCTATATGAGTACGAATTGTTGTAGTTTTTTGAACGTAGTTTGTAGACGTGGACATCTATTAATTAGTTGCCACGCATTTTTTACTGATTTCCCAAGACGTATTCTATTTTTGAAACTAACGAATTTTTGGTCTCTTCCATTTTTGAATTTTGAATAAAACAAAAAATTAATTTGGTTTACAACTTGAAATCGTTTTTAATATAAAAAAAAAAAAAAACAAAACCACTGGCGCACCACAAAATTTTGATCCCTAATTATTTTCTGGAATACCAACGGTCTTACGCATGTCGGGCCCGTAATTCCGATAAAAAATAACATCAACTTTCGAACCGAAATCGGAATCGGAATTAAAATGGACCCCGACGAAGCGCAGCGCCGGCGGGAAGAATGCGAGCGCAAGGCACGTCGTGGGGAGATGGATCCCCGGCTGGAGTTCACCTTCCAGCTGCTGATCGACGCGACCCAGCTGCCCAGGCATCAGCTCATGGACTACATATTCGAAGGGGACATGGTAGCCTATTAGCTCGCCCATTCCGTGGACACTAATAATTCTGCCCGTGTATTGCGTCTAGCTCGATGAGATCAATCAGCTCTTCCTGCCCAACATGAAGAACAAGCTGCTGTGGTTCTATCAGGAGGTGGATGAGCCGGAACCGACACCAGTGCCGGATCCAAATAAGCCGGGGCCGTCGAGAACTGGCATGGCTTCAAGTAGCTCCAAGACGCCGCAGGGTAAGATGAAATGCATTAAATATAGGTTATACACACTCAGGAAGAAATCGAGAAGCTGTTGCAATTTATTGGAAAATAAAATCACAGGATTGTAATAAACAAAGCCGATATTTATAAATAATTAAATACTATTACATTATACTTAATGTAGTGCAATGATTAGTTAAATAAGGTTATGGCTCTCCAGGTGGTGCCTCTCCGAGTGGCATGCCTCCACCGAAGCACAAGAAGTTGTTCCTGACCGACGGTTGGACCTGCGCCTTCACCGGCGTTTGTATTTACATATTTCGGGTGAACACGTCCAAGCAGCTGCCCGAGGAGGGCTTCCAGAAGGACCTGTAAGTCCGTCTCGATCGTCACGAGTCTAATCTCATGTTTGATGGAACCTACAGGTATTGTGGCGTCATCGACGCCAAGAATATTGGCCTGGTCACCTCCATCGAGCGCATCGTTGAGTTTGTGTTCATGCAGGCCTTGGCCTTTCCCAGTCTGGAGGGCGACGAGGAGGACGTGAGCTGTGGGCTTATTAAGGGTCAGCTCCTGCCCGGATTGCGGTCCTTCTGCAGCGCCCTGCGCGTGTGTGAGCAGGTGTGCGATCATCATAACGTCTTCGCCGACGGTTGCGACATGTTTGAGAAAATCGATCAGGTGGAGGAGGTGAAAGATATGTCCAAGAACCAGGAATTCTGCGCGCAGCTTGAGGAGCGAGTCAGCAACTGGACGAAGGGCATATTCAAAATCCTCGGTGAGAGCGAACAGTTGCGGAAGGAGAACGACCATAGCGGGCCGCAGGACGAGCTGGAGTACTGGAAGAAGCGCGGCGCTCAGTTCTCCCAGCTTCTGGCTCATCTGCAGGACAAGGAGGTGCAGTTTACGCTGCACTGCCTCTTCCTAGCGGGTTCCCGCATCATAAAGCAGTGGAAGGAGACCGATCGTAAGATCACATTTTGCTATAACGAGGCGCGCGACAACTCAAAGTTCATCCAGGCCATGGAGACGTGCTGCCATTCCTTGTACTTGGACGACCCCGTCAGCATGAAGGAGTCTATTCTGAGCCTGCTGCAAACTGTTCGTTTGATATACAGCGTTTCGCAGTTCTACAACACATCGGAAAGGACATCCGCTCTAATGGTCAAGGTGGGCCAGACACACTAACTACAAATCGAAAAGCTACTTTACTTTATTCCAACAATCGGTGAATGTGTGAGAATAGACTTTTTTAAACACTAAATGGAAACTTTAGCATCATCAATGCATTCCTTTTCCCTCCTTGATTGTTTTCCTTGAATTCAGTCGTTTAAACCACTTTACTTCTCTCAACCTATTCTCACCTCTGTGACCTGCAGTTCATGTAAATAAACGGCGCGTGGTCTGAGTCCCTGAAACTTGGGTTACTATTGAAAGGTTTCTATTTTCCATCTCAATAGTGGTTTGACCCTTAAGACAGTAACCCGGCGCGTTTGCTGTTTTTAATGGTTTACTTTCTTTTTTCTGCATAGATGTCACTAAAATAACAATTCTTACAATTTATTTACGTTTTTGCATCTGACTAATATTATCAGATAACCAACCAAATGATTGAAACCTGCAAGTCGTACATCACCTGCCGATGCAAGGAGACTATTTGGTCACAGGATCGCAGCCTGATCCGAACCAAGCTGAGCAACTGCATTAAGTTGAATCACATATACCACGAGACCTACTACACAGTCAGGGAGCAGCCATTTCTGCCCAATCAGACGCCTTTTGGGTTTTCAGAAAACTTTGTTTTTGGTAAGATAAAATATTCTCTCAAGTCAGTTTGTAAAACGTTCTCTCCTCAAGGAAAATTCGACACGTTCTGTGAGCGGCTCTCTAAGATTATTAGTATGTTCAACCTGATCGATGACTACAACCACTTGTTCGAGCGCCGCCTGGAAGGCCTCTTGCTAGGGGAAGCCTTGGAGGACGCCTCCAATCACTTTGAGGAGGCCAAGAAGGAGGTGACTTCGCGGAAATATGATTACTTGGATCACCGCAACTCGGACTTCAACGTGGACTTCGAGCGATTTATCCACAAGACGAACTCACTGAAGGACACCATCGCCACGCTGATCGAGACGGACTTTGACACTGTGTGGGAGACGCCGCAGTGCATCCGCTTCCTGGTGCGCT